GCCGGCGCGTGGGGCGTGCGGTAGGGGGGCAAGGGTGGTTGCAGGCACCGAATTGCGGCGGGAGGGGGAAGCCTGTGGCCTTTCTGGAGTTGCTGGAGGCTGGGGTTCCAGAGACCCGCCCTATTCGGGGCACCTGTCAGCCTGTCAGCCGGGGCTCAGAATACAGTTACACCTTTGGGTGAAGCTCCTGCTGTAGGATTTAGCAAGGCTCCCACTTCATTTTCTGAAACTTTGTTTCTCACGAAAAACTATAGGGCCAACGAATTGATTCCAACTCAGCGGCCCTGTAGGACAGGGTAGCCCTGCCCCTGTGGGTTTATCGAGGAAAAACAATCACAGGACCAGAGTTAGCATCTGAAGGGTGCAGTTCATGGCGTTCAGCTCATTCACAAGGTTGTGCAGACTCACCACTTTCCAGTTTCAAAACGGCTCCCCAGATGGGCAGCTCCCCAGTGTTCCCCAAAGTGCCCTGGCCACAGGAGGAGGCGCAGACTTACGCGCTACCCCAGGTGTTTGGGGCACGGTGCTGGACCTGCCTGCCCAGGGGAAACCTCTAGCTTCCCTCATTTTCCCCACTCTGCCCGGGGGGCTGGGGGCTTCTCCGAGTGGAAGTAGCCCCTGCACATGTGTAGCGCACGATCTCATCCGGCCCCGTTCAGAATGCAGCCCCTTGGCAGACTGCCGGGTCCTTGTCAAGGTCGGAGAAGGGGGCGAGGGCACCCTAAATATGGTTTGGACAGAGGATGAGGCCCCATTGCGTGGGAGTGAGAGTGCGCATGCGCACACATACAACGGCCCAGACCTCTTTTTTTTTTTTTTTGGCCTGGGGGGATTATGAGCTGTCCCCGGTCACCAGGGCTCTCCCTGCACACAGTGACACAAGGCTTAGGCGCAGAGAACCCGGAGTTCAGGTGCCACAGTGGGCCCCCAGATTTCTATACCTGGGTCTGCCCTTCGTGCTGACCACGGGTACTGGACTGATTTCGACGGAGGTCCTACCTGGCCCCTCTCTGTGTCCACCTGGCTCAAGCTGGGGGCGCTCTGCTCCACCTTACAGCCCTTACGAGGGGCATCCAGGGTGTGCAGGCGGGGAAACAGGCCATAAGAAGGGAAGTACAGTTCTGGGGTCTTCCCACGCGGGGATCCTCTTCTTCAGGGCTGCCCACATAGGAGTTAGATCCTTCTGTGTGGTGGGGCCCGCGAGCACTGCGGGATGGAGGGCTGTCTCGGGAGGGGACAGGCAGCTTTCATCCACCAGGGAGCTGAGCTGTGCACCCCTCCTCCCTCCCAGTCAGTCTCCTAGCCTTGTAACCCTGCGGGGTGGGGTGGGGGTGGGGAGGAGGTGCCAGGTGGTGAGGCTACAGAGAGCCACGCCTGGGTGAGGGCAGAAAGGACTGGGTGCTTCTCTGTGGGCGGGGCCAGCTGTTACCTGCCGGCACACAACGCACGCAAAGCACGCAGGCGGCCCTTCCTGGAGTCACGTGTGTGTGTGTGTGTGTGTGTGTGTGTGTGTGTGTGTGTGTGTCATGGTGCGCAAGCTGGCGGCGTCCCAAACACCCTCCGCCCACCCACCCATCAGAGGGAATGGTAACCTGAAGACCCTGCAGGGCAGGCCCAGGCCCCAAGTCTGTCCTCTTGCAGCACTGCCGCTGCCTGCTGCTTCCAGAAGGTGGCCCCACCGAGAAGCAGGGGCAGGGCCACCCCAGACAAAAGGTGGATTCTGCTGGTGGTGCCCAGGAGGAGGCTGGGCAGAGCAGGCTGGCGTCCCAGGGGATACCCCTCAAGACACTCAAAGGCCCCAGGGAGGTGCTCAGGCTGGGAAGTCCTCAGGCTTGCCCTGGGGGTGGGTGGGGGCTGGGCTGCCAGGAGGGACAGACAGAGAGCCCTGGAAGGCACTGACCAGACTAACAGAAAACAGGAAAGGTGGACCCCTGACTCCGGATGCCCCGCCCCTCCCCTTCCCCCACAAGGATTCCACCCCCTGGACATCCAACCTCATTGCCCAAGACATATACTCCTAAAGACAAGTACTGAGCCCCCCAGAGCACAAGGTCCATCTCAGGGACTACCCCTCCTGGAACTGTCTGGCTCTGTCTTTCTCCCACGCTGCCCTGGGTCCCCTAGCCATTGCCAGGCCCTCCCCAGGCCCCAGTCTGAGCTCAGTGGTCTCAAAGAAGTCAGGTACCCCTGGGTGCTGGGAGGTCAGCTCAGCAGAGCTGTCAGGGTCAGGGTCCCCAGCAGCTGTGACTGTGGTCTGGTGTCCCAGCAGTTAAACACCACTCAAACAAGTCACTTTGGACATAAGACTTGTCCCATGGATAAGTATATCCCAAACAATTGCTCTCTGTTTAATCAAATCTGACTGCGTGGCCAGGACTTTGGCAACCCTTTTGGACCACTGTTGACAATAAACACCTTTCTATCCTAACGTAAGGCTAGGCCTGGCTCTCCAACTCACCTGGCATGACCAGGTGTGGCTATGCATGCTTTGAGGGGTACTGAGGCTGGGTGCCAAGCTGAGAGGGGGTATGTCACAGGTGGGGGTCACCATGGCTAGTGTCCTGTGCAGGACCATCTGACTGCTTCCTACCAGGCCTGTGTCTTTGAGGACAGCCGTGTCTCCCTGTCCAGTTGGACAGGGAGGAGAGCATGGTCCTAGTTCCAGCCCAGGGCCTTCTAGCACAGCGGTTCTCGACCTTTGGGCCGCGACCCCCCGTTTGGAGGTCGAACAACCCTTTCACAGGGGTCGCCTAAGACCATCAGAAAACACCTATTTCTGATGGTCTTAGGAACTGGGACACCGCTCCTCTATAGTCTCCAGGTGGGTCTGCCCATATGCAGATACGCCCACCTATGAGCACCTGGCGTGAAGACTGTTACCCATGCTACACCCTGCTTCAAGGCAAAATTTCATTTATTTGTAATTAGAAATATTTCAAATATGTAATTATATATTGATTTTGTGATTAATCACTATGCTTTCATGATGTTCAATTTTTAACAATGAAAATACATCCAGCATATCAGATATTTACATGACGATTCATAGCAGTAGCAAAATTACAGTTATGAAGTAGCCACGAAAATAATGTTATGGTTGGGGTCACCACAACTCGAGGAACTGTATAAAAGGGTCACAGCATTAGGAAGGTTAAGAACCACTGTTTTAGCAGGATCAGCAGTGATCTGGAAGGCTGGGTGAAGGCTGGGTGGGGTGGGGGGTTGGGAAAGCAGTGGGGCAGGGTCCTGGGCCTGGCATCCCCTTGGCTGACCCTGAAGGCCTCCAGAGTCCCCAGATGCGCCAGGGACTGGGCAGGCTCATGTCTGGGTCCTGGGCTGTCTTGGCTGTGGGCCCCACAGCAGGAGCAGCTGATGCAAGTGGTGGCAAGTGTGCCTCCCATCAGGCTGACTCACGCCACCCCATTCCAGCGACGGTCTTGGGGCAGGGCAAGCCTGGGTAGCCCCAGAAAGAAACTGACATGGGCGTGGTCAGGAGCTGGGGTGCTCCACTCAGCTCTGCAGGTTCAACAGTTAGTCACCCCTGGGCTTCCTGGCGGCTGAGCCTGGGAAGGGGACGTGGGGGTCCTATCACAGTGACATGGGTCATTGCATCATGCCCTTGGGAGTGGTGGAGTGGGATCAGGTGGAGGGGCAGTGCTAGCTGAAGGCCACTGCCCTGTCCCCTGGTGACAAGGGACTTTCCTGGTCCTCTTGGCTTGACTTTCGTGTCATCTGTCAGACAGGATTACCGAGTGGGGTGGGGTGGGGTAGTGGAATGTCATGGGTGGACGGCGGATGGGGTGCTCCCCACTGTTACTCTAACCCAATGACCGCATGCTGGGTGGTTTCAGACCACACATACTCACTCCCAACTCTTTGGGTTCAGTCCAGTGTGGTCTTGTGGGGGGTGATAGAGAAGCTGGCTAGGGGGAGGATCAGGTCTCCCTGCCCCAGTTCAGCTGTTTGCTCCCCTGCAGAGACCTGGGGTAACACCTGCTACGCTGGGGTGTTTAGAGGTAGGGCTGGTATGGGGAGGCTCCCTGGCAGTGTAAGGAGTAAAACTACCTGAGGGTTTTACATCTCACCTGTCCCAGCACTCTGCCAGCCCTGGGGCCCTGGCCAAGTAGTACCCAGGTCCTAGTGCCTTCCTGCTGGGTGCCTCCCAAGCCGCCTCCACAGGCTGAGCCCCAGGCCTGGAGGAGGGCTGAGCTCTGGACCCTGTGGTGACATCTGCGTCCCTGTCTCTGGGAGCCCAGAGACACCCATGTGCTGGCCTCCGACCTGTGGACCTGATTCCTCACACGGCCAAAGGACAGCAGGTGATGGCTCCAGAGGTGGAACATGATCCTAGACTCTGGGGATGGCGGGGGTGGGGTGGAGTGTGGC